TTGAATATTGCTGTGGCAGAATTCCTTGAACTATCAGTATGTGTCAGGAATATTACTCAGTCTACATGTATCATTCTCAGTTTTGTCACCTGCAGTACTAAATGCCTGGGGAAAACTGAAGGAGGGGGTTTAGCAGCATATTTGTATAGTAAATATTTCTTACAACATATGGTGTAAATTTGCAACCCCAATATACTTTAAAAAGGTAATACCAGTTGAATGCTGAAAGTTCAGTTTAAATAGGGGAGGAGGAGCCAGGTGTCAGGTGAAACTAAATATCCTAAGCAGGAAAGGGAAGTAAAGACATTTGCAGAACAAAACAAGACCATTTTCAAAGCTTAATTTGTGTTCTCGCTGACAGGTAGTAGGGCTACACAGAGCTACTGCTGAACTGAGTGCTAGGAAGAAACTGGAGGAGGGTACCAGAATGTATTTTGAAAGTCCATTTGTATTAGAAGGGTTTCTGAGAAAATAACTTTAGAAGAGAAGTCAAGGAAGGAAGTTAGTGCTGAGTGATACCAAGGGTGGAGTGAAAGGTATATGCTGGAAACATGCCCTCAGTGCTCTGCTGTAAGAGAAGCCCTAGGATTGAACCCCATGTTGCAGTTAGAAGAATAACAGCATGTACATATACCCGCTTGAGTTGAGGCCTTCAACATTTGGAAAGTAAGTCAGATCGGCTGTTACACCATGAGGTGTCCAGTATGCCACAACAAAACTGAGCACCAGTCTGAAACAAATTCTTTTACTATATTTGATGTTATTTAATATTATATGATATATTATTGCCCCATCATTGCAAGTGTTTAAAGCCCCATCAAGTCAGATGGGTCTTTGAGCAACCTGATCTATTGAAAGATGTCCCTGTCCACGGCAAAGGCACAGACTTGGAATCATCCTACCTAATTTAGACTTGTAACTGCAGCATCTATATTTTAATTCTTGTTTTGCTACTCCCATCTTCAATGGAGAGAGGGGCAGGGAGTAATTCAGTCTATATATTACTTGAGTCACATTTTGGAGTTGCTTATCTTTCTACTGGTTGGAGGGGGACTGCAAGGATCTCTCTACATGCTATTGAGAGTATAATCACCTCCTGTATTCAAATCCAAACCAAAAAAAAATGCATGCTGCTGATGCCCAGCATATGTTTCATTGCAAAGAGAAAATGATTTTTTTAGAGGAAAAAGATTGGAAGAAAACAAGAGATGAACATTTTGAAGCCTGAGGGTATTCTGATCTTTATTTTAAGCTGAACTTTTTAGGTAAAGCCATAATTAGCACTTTATGTGCTTGGAAAGTGAGCTAGCAATTGGACTAGTCAGCCTGAAGCCAATTTGAAAAGTCAGCTCTTGGTCTGTATTTCTGAATTTTTGTAATATCTTTCTGCCCTACAAGTTTGGGTTTTTTTTTTTTTTACAATATCCAATTCCTGTGGTGTAAGGCCAAATGGCCTTTATTAAATAAATATGAAAAACACAAATGGATTCAAAAGCAGAATGAAGAGATTGCAGCAGCAGTAAAGAGCCAACTTACTGCCCTTGTGATGAAAGAGTGGTTTTCTGATTGTTTGTGAAAGCTAATGGAAACTATATTTTGGCTGTGAATAATTCTCAGGAGGGATTGTTGTGAAGTCTTACCTCTTCTCTCACACTTTACTGATAGAACATATCAAGCATTCAAAAGCAGACACACCCCATGAAGCTCAACGTGCAGAAAACTGCTGGTCAGTATTATAGCCAATATATATACATAGTATAAAGCCGATAGAGAAAGATGAGCCTCTTCAGGGGTTAGTGAGCTTTACGGGCACATCACTGACCTGCCAGAGGCCAGTGCGGATTTACCTTCATTATGGCATGTCAGTTGTGGGAAGAGTGGATAACTGGCAAAGGGTAAAGGTTATGATGACAGAATCCAGGTGCCAACTAATTAAGATTTTCTTTCCCACAAGACATCATGATATTGCACTGAACTGTGTTGAGAGAAGGGGGTTTGAGAATTTACTGCGGTCAACATCATCTACTTCTCAGTTACCTGTAACTGAAAATGAGAAATGCCACTTTTTGAATTTTGTCTGTGGAATCCTTCCTAAATGTTACATCATTTCAGTCCCCAAGATCTTTATTCCAGACTTTAATAATAACCAAATCGAAGTTGTTATCTTAAATGTTAAGTTTGATTTACCTTTTGTCTTTGTTAGGTGTATTAGTCCTTCTTGCACTGGATGGGGCACTACCAGCACAATACAAAACAGGATTTCCAACTGCCATATTTGACCTTGGCATCACCCACTTATCTGTCTTGGGCATGGCTTTTGTCTACTTTTCTTTCTAAGATCCCTGGAATAGGTAGTCATTAACCTATGATTAATTAAGGAATGACCAAGCTGAATCTTGTGCAGGTAGTTGACAAGCTGTGTTGTATTAGCTCCAATGGAAAGTCATCACAGCCATTATAGTGGTGTTTACAGAGGTTGGGGTTCAACAGCCTTTTTTGGTTGGTTAGGGTTTTTATAATGTTAATAACAGAATTAGGGTAAACGGCACCATACACTGATCCTTCATCTCATTACAATCACAAAAAATGTGGTGTACTGGCAATAAACATCAAATTGGGATTTTTGTAACTTACAGGTATTTTTCACTAGGGAGCTAGTCATTGTGACCAACATTTCTTTTGGAGTACTGTTTGTCATAAATCTCTATACTCTAATACTCTGGGGAAAGGGCTTTGCTTGTTGGAAGTGTTAAAGTGATTTTGAGGGAAGTCACAAGCAAGCTACAGGGAACCAGTTTCAGATGTAAGGCAAGATGTCACTATAAAATAGTGGCAGGAAAGGGATCCTGACATATGTTCTTCAAAGGTTTATGCCTGTTAAGCCTATTGTATCTCTTAGAATTAGTTTTAATGATTTACATCATCAGCTCATGAGATAGTAACTCTGTTAAGTACTCCCTTAAGACAGTCACTTTTTCCCTTGGAGGCTAGAAAAGCTTTATCTGAAGTGTCCTCAGAGCCTTTCTTAGGGGCTCCTATAACACCCATCAGCTGTGACTCACTGTGTTTCTGCAGATCCCTAAAAAAAAAAAATACTGTTATAAAACTGGCCTGTTGATACCAGCTAAGCAGGTGGTGAGCTATGTTGTGTGCTCTATTAGTCTACACAAAAACAGGCTCACATTACTGTCACCTCCTCCCTGTTCCCATCCCACCTGTTTGGCTCATCTGCCTCCTTCTGCCTCATCTTATGACTTGTCGTTAGTCTGCCTTGTAAATTCTTCGTGGCAGAAACTTTGTCATTAGATGTGTATGTATATATAGTACCTACCATGAGAGAGCCTGAAGCTGTGACTGAAGCCTGTGGGCACGGTTCCAATACAGATAATAATGCTAATATTGCAAGGCTCTTTTCTCACACATTTCCCGTAGACGAGAAGCTCTGCCACGGGAACAGCTCCCTCTTGTTTTACAAGATGCTACTTTTAACAAAAGACAGTTAGATTTAAAAAAAAAAAAAATAGTATAGATTTCACCATATCTTCCAGTAATGAATGGAAAAAAAAAAACCCAGTACCGTGAGATGCTCAGATATGACTTTATTCTGTGGTTTTGTGCCATGAGTAAAGTGCTGTTGCAAAGGCCCATCCCTCAAGAATGACACATTCTTCATTTTTGTTTTGGAATTCTTTAATTTTCTTCGCATACAAGAATAGTACTTTTTGTGCCCAAAATATTAAAGGTTTTCAGTGACTTCATCTACTGTAAATCAGCGTAGCTCTTATGACTGCTACAGAGATATGCTAATTCATATCTACTTAGGTGTAGACTGAGATGGAATTTTGTTTTACTGAAAATACAGATTGCAGTAGTACATATCCCATTATGATGGGCACTTTATAAGTTCATAGTGAGGAGATTTTCCCCCCTGCAAAAAGAACTAGTTTATGCAAATATACAGCCCAGACATGCGGTAGTTGTGGTGTTCTATTCTGAAATAAATTTGGCCAAAGGACTTAAATTACTTAAGAAAAAGGAAAAAAAAAAATTCTAAATTATGAGTAAGTATCATAATGGGTGCTAAAATAATGCCATGTACCTACTTCATTATTCAGTTATTTATTATCTTTATATTCTTAAGAGTAATGATGTAAAAGTGCTTTTTTCCAAATGTTAATTTAGTTCTCTGCAGATGGTAACCATCTGTTAAATGAGAAGTCATTTACAGTATTTAATTAGAACTCTATATAGCTTGGACGGACTTATTGTTACAACACGTAAGTATAGTTATGGAGATGAAACTTGTTAAATTTGTTCTTTTCCTGTTGCTGTTACAAAAAAAGGAACATTTTGAAGCTGTTGATACTTTTGCCTGTCTTCTCCTATATTTATTTATGCATGTTACTTCAAGCTGAAGCCTGACATTCGTAGGCCAGGTCACAAGATATTCCTGAGAGAATGACAATACTAGGAAATACCATTAAATTCCAACACCACTTGTAGCAGTTATGAGCATCCTCGTTTTACAATGTCACCATGTGGATGGACTCTTACAGGTGTTCAAGGAAAGCTCTGGAAGCTTGGATCAATCTAAGAATCATGGTTTATTCAAGGAGAAAACTCTTGGGGCAGCAGTATGGCTTTGTATACTGATAGCAGCCTACACTGTGGGTCTTTTTTTAAACTAGAAAAAAATTAATATTGCAATACACCTTAATATTGCTATCAAAGTGACATTCTTGCATGAACTGCACACTTTTGTGTTTTAATACCTTGATCAATGACTACTAACCCCTATCTGTCTGTAAAATAAGCACGTTCTGATTCGTTTTGTACTGTGTTTTCTTCTAAAGTTTCATCAAGTTATGCTGATAAACCTTAATTTGTTGGCCCCGTTTTTATTGTTGTAAAATTACTTTACATGTTATTTCTGTGTTTATTATAAAATTCATTAGGTGTTTTGATTTGTGTTTTATTTTCAACAGCGAAAAATCTTGATAATGGCCCCACTACCAAATGCTGAATTAGTTCAGAACTCTTTGCAGTTATATCGTTACCTGCTTCGATGCTGTAAGCAACTTCCTGAAGAGAATATTCGTCAGCATTACAGACATGCAGTCAGGCAGGTGTGAAACATTTTTCTGTTGGTGGAATTTGGCGGGGGTGGGTGGGGGTGGTTTTGTTTTTCTTCTCGTACAGTTTGGACCAACTTTTTGTAACTCCGGGTACTTAAAAAAATTATTTTCCTGCAAGCTTGAAACATTAGTGCATTTGAAGGATTGTATTGTGAGTTTGAAGGAGCATTTCTTCTTGTTTGCTTTGAATCTGAAACCTATTTTCCTTGATTTTCATCTCTAATTCTTGAGTTCGAGAGTGAACAATCATTGCTTACTCACTTAGACACATCTTTTATGGTGAAACTTACTGCTTCCTTGTTGGTCATTTTTTAATATATATCCTGCCTCCAACCTCCCTGGCTGGGTCAATCTCATGTAATTGTTCATATGGAAGTAATTTCATGCCTTTGATCATTCCTGTAATCCTGTGTCTTCCTAGTTTTACTGTACAAGACTCTTTCATTTGTTGTTCTGAATAGAAGTTCTCTAGGATTTTCTTTTTGCTGATGATGAAAGGAGTAAAATACTATGAAATCACATTTAACAAGACTTGTTATGGAAATAGCACAACCAGGTGCTAGAATGTATTTTTTCTTACCTAGAATGTATTTTTTTACCTTTTCAGATCAACAGTTTGTTTGTATCAGATGTTTTCTTCGAGATTCAAAAGTGATCCTTATTTTGACAACTGTTGTGTTAAGTTGGCTAGTCAGTGTAACACTTTGAATGTTGCAGAGTTTCAAAGTTCATGCCGATGAAGACGATCCTGAGCGAATCCAGCAAATTATTAAGAGAGCCATTGAAGATGCTGACTGGGTCATGAATAAAGTAAGTGCATCAGATGGTCTAAGTCTTGCTCTCAGGTCAGATCAAAGAAGAAAACATTGGAAAGCAAGTTAAGAACACCAAACTGTTCCATTGTCCTGGACACTGATGTGTCTGGGTGAAAGGAAGTGCCTAGCCACTAGGGATTTATGATTCTGATAGTCCTTGTTTAAAAATTCTTTTTTGTTGGGATAAACAAGTGTATGTTTTAGAACCAATGATGCTTTAAGGTGGTCTCTGTATAAATCCTTGTTTCCATGAAGAATTCTATTAAATTTTAGAGTGGTTAGTATAACTCTATTACCAAAGAAAAACCCCCAACCTACAGTATTTTGCAAGCCACAGTTTGTTGATAATGCATCAGCTGCTTTCCTAACAGGAGTGTATCCTCTCTTAGTCAGTTTACATAAGCTCCAGAAGGTTGCTCTTTTTTCCCCCCCCTCAGATCTTACCTGTAGCTGTGCAGATCAGGGTTAGACAACATAGTGGCAAATCTGTGGTAATTGATTTACTTGTGCCATAGTTACTGCCCAGTAGATGTGCCTCTTTACTATCACAATACTGAAAGATACCACTCGAACTGTTTCTTGGATAAAAAAAATGAAGACTGTTTACTGTTCGACAGCTGAGAGTCACCTGTACTTCCTTGGATTTAAATCTGGTTGGGGAACATGATATATTAACATGGATTTCTCAGAGTATAATGAAACAAGTCAAAAGTGCAGCTTGCTCTGAATATCTATGATTTAATTCACTAAATGACTGTTAAGTCCTTCTCTCTGCCAGTCCATGAAATCCAAATGAGAATTGTTACGGGAGCAAGCACAGATTAGTCATAAATTACAAAATTATAGCAGTAGCCAAATCCCAGCAGTTACAGCCTAGTAAATAACTGTCTGTGCCTGAATCTGATTTCATTCTCCCTACAATTATGAAAAGCCTCGTTCTGATTCTGCTACAGAGATTGTAGTCTGCTTCATTGGAAAAACTGGTAATTGAACTATGTGAGAGAAGGATCAGATTCACAGTGCCTGCCAAGAAGCATTATTTTGTATCATAGAGGGAAAGTCTATCAAATTTCAATCTAACTAAAAGGGAACAGATAATTTTATGTAGATCATGAAGAGGGTTGTAAATCCTTGTCAGTATGAACTGTTACTTTTAGTTATGTTCTCTTTCCCACAAATAATTGTTTCTTTTTCTTTTTTTAGTATAAAAAACAGAAGTAGAAGAGGAATGATGAAGACAATGTAATTGGTAAACATTCTTAGAGGACTTTCAGTCAAGCCCAGTACTATATTACAGCTATTGTCTGGAGTTTTCTCTTGGATAATACAAATAAGATAATTTGTATCTCATTGGAATGTCATGAAGTTAAATTAATATTTCTGAAGCTATTTGAGTCTGTAGATTAAAAGGCACAGTCTAGGTTTAAAGTATTAGCTTGTATAATTGCAAACTTTAGCTTAAAGCCCAAACTTGAATAAGCTTTGAGTAACACAGAGAGCTTCTCAGGAAAACTTGCTGAGAAAAAAATGTAATGGAGTACAAGTCATTAACAAGTAATAGCGCCCTGTCTGTTGTTCATATCTGATGTTTTACAGCATCTAATCTGGAAGAATTTAACTAGTTTCTGAGCATAAAGCCCTCAGAAATGCTCATTGAGGATCTGAGCAAATTTCTCTTTACTTAATTGTGGACTAGATTATACTGTTCGGCCTAGGTCCACCATAGCATGCAGTGTTTGATACACTTAGTGCATAGGTTATTTGGTGGCAAGGTTCTTCTGCATAAGGAACAGTGGATTTAAGTTTGCGTTATGTTCTGAATTACGGTAGTCAGTCCGTTACGTCAGATCATCCTCTGTCAGGACCATAGATGTATTTTCAGAGTGAAGCAGAGGTATGACCAGAGCACAGGCCTTGTTTTAATCGGTAGCAGACACAAAAGCACAGGCTGCTGCCTGGAGAACATACCCAACAAGAACTTTAAGCCCATCTGAAACTTGAACCACTTTCCTGTCTGTGCTATGGCCGTATCTTCATTCTACTCTGTAGGTTTGCACTTGAAGTAATGGTTATCTTTTCGTATTTAAAGATAGGTGCCTGTCACCCTGATGTCTAAACTCTCATGAAAACAGACACCATTCAGATGGGTTTTGTGCACTGAATGGTATAATCACCAGAATATACAATGTTGTACAGATATAAAGGCCTTCACAACTTTTTGCAAGATATAATAAACATCCTTTAAAAATGGGAGTCCATGTCCTTTTTTAAAAAAGACCGACTTTTCACTGCCCTAATGAATTTTCATCGGGGCAAACTCAATAGAAATGCTAGCCATTTGAAATTAATGTAGGGCTAAAAGTTTCCTTTTGAAACCTGACCTTGGCTTTTAGCCGTACCGGGAGCTTTCTGCCTCCAGGTGGCAGTGCATGCCGCAGTGCGTGTCCGAAGTACTTGGGGGGTTGGCTTTGTTTTTACCGGTTCCAAATGTTGAGCTTCCTCACGTGCCAAAATAGAACTCAAGTGCTAAGGCAGATCTTTTAGGGTCCAGATTTTCTTTTTTTCATTCAGCTATGAAAGAAACAAAAAGAAAATCCTAGCTCAAAGTAGTTGAGAAGAATTTGACAAGTGCTATAAAAGAAATGAGGGCGATAAGAGAACGTTTATACCGTAAAGCATTGTATCAAAAAATTTCCTTTGTCTATGCTAACCCTAAGTCCTTCCCTTCAAGAATTCCTGCCCTCTGTTGTTTTTTCCTCTGCCACTGCCACTCTTGTTCCTCTCTCTACTCCTACATCTTTCACATTACCTTATACACCCTCAACTTTTATTCTACGTATTGCTTAATTCTGTTGTTTCACATCTTGTCACTCTATTCCACTTTTTTCTCCACCTCAAATCCTCTTCTGACAGGTGCATCAGAAGATACTCAGGTGTTATGCTGGGGCCATCCTTCTGCTTAATTTCAAATAAAGCATGAAGGTAATAGAGTTTCTCAACAAAGTAGGTGTAAGTTTTTCTTCATGTGAGGAAAGCCACTTGTCTTTCTACTTAAATACACTTTTTTGAAAGTGCAACTATTCTGGTTTAAACTTTCCAAATAATTTGATGTAAGGTAGAGCATAGAAAGTTTCAACTTTGGCAGTTGACAAGGGATATGCAATATGAAACTGAATGCTGAAATAAAAAAGCTCAAGCAGATTTAATAGTAGATATCTGAATGTGCTACTTTTAATCAAGAACAGCAAAGAAATGACCCATGCTGTACTCCAGTTCTATTATATATATTTGGTCTGTAGCATGGAGAACTGAACTTTCTATCAGTGCAATAGTGAAAACTTTAAGACTCAGTAGAATTAACAGTGTATGGAAACATAGCAGTTCCCTGAATTTTACATGTAGTATGCTCAACAACACCATTGATTTAGTTGTCTGGCTTTTTGTGGTGAGACGTAATATTTTGTTCAGTTACTTAATAGGATAATTGCGTGTGTCTAAATCATTCTTACGTGCCTGTTATTTAATTTATGGATAGTTCAAGAGGGAAAGCACCAAGGAGCTGGAAGGTGCAACTGTGGCATGTGTGCAGCTCCAAATGTCTGAGGTGCCAGCGGAGATATGGGAACATCAGACCAAAGGTATGATAGTCATAACTGATATGGTAGGACCAGGATCTGTGAATTTTAGACCTTGGAAAGTGGTTTAGCATGCAGTTCTTAGTAGGATGCAGGGGGGGAGCATGGTTGCTGAGGCAGGAGACATCATGACTAAGTATTTTGACAGTAGTGACTCAGTTGTAGGGCATGATGAGATGTCTGGGTAATTTTTTTTTTCCATACAAACATAATCTGGTTGTCAAAATAACAAAACTTTTAATAGTTTGGAAACTGAAGATAACTTTATTTACTCTGTTATGGAACTAATAATTTGCGTGGCAATGGGGAGACACGATGCAAGCAACTGTTTACTTCCTTGTAATAGTGAAAGTAACCCCCATATCTAAGACAGACGTGTTTCTCTAATGACTAGGCTGAAGAGTCATTCAGCTGCATAGCCGAAGCTTTTACCTTTTTAAGACTTTATACAAATTCTGTTCTTCAGCAGCATAATTTGAGACCAAAGATCTTACATTAGCCTAGATGAGGCTTGAACTCTGAAAGGGGATGAGAACTTGAACTCTGAAAAGGGATTTGGACAGAGCTTCAATAGTTTCGACCAAAATTATTGTCCAGAAAACTTCTACTCAGAAGTCATTTAATCTTAGAGTTGTGCTAATTTACCACTCACTAACCTGTTTGACCTGAGACTTTATATGGTAAATTGAGTTCTTTTCATTAGTATCCGGGATCACTTTTCTCTGAGCAATGCTATGCCACCCAGCCTTGCTTAGACTGAAGAACTGTTCTCTGTTCCACCGATGTCTTCATTTGGTCTTAATGCCACTGTGCTAATGATTAGCTGCCAGTAGTTCTAACAGGGCCCACTGTGGGAAAGACTTACACAGCTGCAGGCATAACTTTATTCCTGCACTTCATTGGTCAGTCTCCTCCATGGTTCTTGGACAGTTGCAAAGAAAATATCAACACCAAATAGATTGGTGCATCTGTGTTTCCATATTCAGTCATCCAGAATCTCTGAAAATAAGGATGTTGTGTGCAATTTAAGTAATAGGGGATGAAAGAGACTATTATATGCTATAATTAGTATTGCAAAGTTTAAAAGAAAAAAGTTCACAGTGCTCATTATACTGTTGATGCAGCAAAGGATAATGTCAGTAAAAAGGGACAAGCCTATTCTATTTATAGGGTTTAGTTTCTTTTTACTGAAATGAGGAACCCATTTCTGTACTTGTACATCATGCCAGTTCTGGTAAGTAATGGACTGTTCATCAGTATATGCAATAACTGAATTAAAGGCCCAGCAGAAGGTCGTGTCAAAGCCCCAGTTTTTGTTGGCCCTGCTGATAAGCACTCCTGTAGTAAGCATTCAGTTACCAGCATCACTTCCACTGTGTAATAGCATCACCTGGCCATTCATTAGCCTGAGGGTTTTCATTGTGTTTACACAAGTGTAATAACTACTTTCTGGAAACAACAGTTTTGCAGCTGGTTACTGTAAGACCTTGAGTCAATAACTTCTCCTAACTAATCCTCTACAATTAGAGGACTGGAGTGGAATTAACTGTTCAAAGGTTGTGTACGGACAACTGTGTCAGTTAAGCTAGAGAGGGTTTTGCAGGAGGCTTATGCAAAACAAACATTAGAACAAGGAAAAGTCAGTTGGGAGACTTCTGTTTAATAGCTTGGGATCATGCTTTTTTTTACTGAGGTATGGAGAAGCAGGTTATTTAAATCATATTTTAGCTAAGGAAAATGAGAAAAACGTTCTTAGTCATTAGCTCCTGGTTATAGACTTACCAATGTTCAGTCCAAGGACAGAACCGAATTTGGTGCTATACTTTCTTTTCTATATATCACACACAGAATCATTAAGGTTGGAAACACCTTTAAGATCATCAAGTCCAACCACCAACCCAACACCACCATGCCCACTAAACCATATCCTGAAGTGTGGAGATATATATATCCTAAAATATATATATATATATAAAAAAAACATTAGAAACATAAAGCTGATACTGTGTGGAAATAATCAGAACATAACAAATACAGAAGTGACGTGTCTAGAAAGACTAGAACAATGACAATTTACTGGTGGGTTAGTTGATGCGTTTTGTTTAGTGGATAGGTTCCTGCTCTTAAGCCCACAGACAACTATTAAAGGGTCTACTTTTGTTGTTACCAGCCTTGGAGCCTCATGTAGAAGCTTTCTGTGTAGTCTTTCCTTTTTTTTTTAATCTGTTGCTGTCAGGTTTTGGTATGGAAAAGATTGTAAATTTGAGGTTTATCTAAAATAGAGGGTAGTATTCTACACTTCACATGGTTAGAGAGATGTATATATTTCTGATCACGTTCTTATGTCAGAGGCATTAACTGAATTCAGTTCACTCTTGACACTGAAAGTCATTTGAACCCTGTGGGTACTGAATAGAATACTTCCATCCCAAGGCAGGCTTTGCTTAGAACGATTTGTCAGTAATTGAATATTCTTTAAATCATTCTTTAGCTTTAGCAATTTGTAAACTCTTTTTCACTTGGCTCGTTATGTCACAGGGATTGCTTTTTGTTTAGGGACACGTGAGCTTAAGAATTTGATGCTAA